GTTCCTGTCTCCGCCCATATCATTGGCTAAATGGAGTAAGGTGTGGACGATACCCCTTTGATATAACAGTCGGACGATTTGAGCAGTTGGACGATACCCCGTTGATATAACAGTCTAGCAACTTAGGGGATATCCTGTGAGGAAACTAGTCTTTCTGGTCTGGCTTGTAGATGTGGCTCCGCCTGACACAAGATGCATATTCGATCACCATTCCATTACGCAGTCTACCACTGCTCGAAAGGTGCATTCAGGGCACATCGTTGTTGAGAATTCCCCAACAAGGACTGTCGTATTTGGCCGCTGAGAGAGGTTGTGGTCGTATTTAGGTTGCAAAAAATTTTTTTGAGAATTGATTTTTCTTGTTTCAGGGACGTTGTAAAGGGGGTCGTATTTGCTTGTTGTTGGGAGGGGTAGGTCGTGTTTCCCTCTCCCTTCTGACCTTCTGAGAGAGAACGCTGACTTTAATGCTAACGCTGGCATTGGGAAGACCGAATAGAATGGACTCTGTATTATGAGCACAGCCCAAAAACGGATAGATGCAGTTGGGTGGCAGGCGGGAAGCAGTTTTAGCATCATTTGTGAAAGGGCGTTAGACTGCACTTCCACTCAATCCCCAACGTGCTACAGACTTACTGTCTGTGGACGCTGGGGCATTTCAGAGAGGCTGGCATCGAGGCAACTCCAGCGTATTCTCCTCTAATTGTGGTTGCCTAATAGCTTCCACAGTTCCTGATAACAGGCTGGCATTGCGCCAAATCCAGCGTCCAGCGAGCAAGACCGTAGGAATACGGTCTAACACCCTCTATTTGAACACTGGAACTAGTGTTACTCCCCGTGGCCAACGCGCCCACTCACTTCAAACACTGGCTCATGTCCCGCAGTTCACTGTGTGTATTGATCAGCTAAGGGCTCGACTACTCGTAAAGTAACTGAGTGGAAGAGCTATGTAACAACTAAAATTTTGAGTGTGGCCTTGGTGCGAGAGGCCAGTCTACAGAGAAATAAGGGCCTGGTGCTGCTGCCAATGCATGATAGGCAAACCCTTCGTGGGATAGGAGATGAGTTTTCCCAGTGGAGATGACAAGGTTGAGGGGAATGGGAAAGGGAAGTATTGCGGCTTCAAACGTCTTTAGAGAGGGGATTCAATAAAATATTTTGGAGCCTACTGGAAATCCAATATCTGTGTAAGTACATAATGTTGGACACTTTAGCAGTAGCAGCACGTAATTTGAAATTCTGCTGCCAACTTGCGCACGGTTCGCCTACTGCCATCATCTCCAACTTCACATCTGTGGATGAACTCTTCCAGGTTGGGACGTTTTCTTTTCTGTTTCTACGAAGCCAAAGCTACGAGCAACTTTCAGTCCATCGCCGATTGTTTCAACATCTCCCCTGATGACATCATTTTCTGCACAATTAACACTTTCAAGGTAAGTTTCCAAATCGCACCACGGCTCAAACGTATAGCCTACGGTTACTGGCCTTCAGGTCGACATGGATAAGCTCTTTGCTGGCACCTTGGAGTATTCCGACATGTTGTTCGCTCATGTGAAAGGCCAAGCTGTCGAAGTG